CAATCATAAATGTTGCAAAGGCAGTTATTGGAAGATCAGGGTTCGAATAGGTCTTCCGTAACCCATGATTGTCATAAGAGGCGACCAACGAGATCGGGTGGTCAGGCTCGCTGACTTGGTTGATGCATGTCATCGTATCCTAGTTGCGTAAATCGCTGCTCATAATATCAATCACTAGATTGTCGGGTCCAAACTCGATTGTTTACAGACCGCCGTCATATAGGTGGAATATTGCTGATTGCAGCGTTAAACAACAAACAAACAAAACAAAAAAGTTAACAATTGAAAATGACGTTATTTGTTGAAACAATGCTTTTATCAATATATCAGCAGTATTCCCACACTGGAAATGAGTTTGTCACAGTGTATGGAGTCGAACCTGGAATTTAGGGGTGACGAGCGAACGCTTTAACCACTAGGCTAGCTTACCACCCCTTATGTTTACAATCGCACATGTACACAGATTCCCCAGTATTTAATTTGTAATAAAACACAATAGCAATCATTGTAACTAACACCATTCTAACTCAAAAGTCACAAGGGTATTACACGGCTTTGAGATTCAACCAGTAATTAAACGTTCGGAGATATGAAGGTCAAGATTAGGTAACTCTGTGATAAGACGACCGCTAAGTAATTTCCAATTCCACGGTCTGGGTGAGCGATGGGAGTCGTTACCTAACCTCTTTTTAATTGCTTTAGATCAAAGTCGCTTACTTTCACACGTCTATGTTAAAGCTAAACAAATCCATTGTGTTGTATATTCGTGTTAATATCGTGTTCATTTCACAAACCAAACAATGATTAGTTCCACTTTGATGTGTTGATAGAATGTAAATATAGTGTAATTGGTTCTTTACAGGTGAAATTAATCACCGTGTTCAGTCGTGTGATGTCGATTTCAAAAGGTATCGATTTCAGTGACATAAGCAAGGTTTGAAGAGTATGATATTACGTGACGATATTTGCCTTGCGTGATAAATACGCGCCGGCGTTCTTCTGCAGATTTTAGTAACAAGAATTACCAAAGAAGTTTAAGAAGCTATTTCAATATTATAACAGGTTTTTTTTAAGCAATTATTCCCCAAACGCAGGAAATAAAGTCAATGTTTCTTCAATAAATTTCCTACGAAAACACAGCCTTGTTTTCCTTGTTATTAAACCTGTATGGCAATCGAGGGTTATTCACCAGAGGTGTAAATTCTAAATTTTATAGGTCCCCTAATGACACGTTAACGTTGGCTCAAATGACAATGACAAAGGTATCATATATTATCGCAGCTTGAACGACTGAAATAAAAACCTGATTGTGCGAATTCATGAGCTGCGGCTCCCTGCAAGAAGCGGACTGAGCGTCACAGTCTGGTGGGTTGCACGGTCGAATAACAACGTTAGAGGAACAACTCAGAGTGAGCGAAGGACGGTTTGCAGACAGAAAAAAGAAGTCATTTCCCCATTAACGTGTCACATATTGTATGCCAGTTCGATGATAAAATGTACATCAGAGTGTACAAAATCAAGATGAGTTTCTCATAGCCATTTTGTGGTTGGATGCACATGTGACAAGGAATATTATGGATACCAGCACAACATTGCAGAGCAACGTCTGGAACGGCAAGCGAGTTCAAGTTCTTTATTTTACCAAAACCACTCACAGTGGTACACGATGCAATTCAGTAATTGTGTGTGTGCCATATTTTACTAAATATGTCTAAGAAAATGAGCAGTATATTTATATGAGGCAGATTCATAATATAACTGGCCCAGTCGTCCAAGGCGACGCGATTCGCTGTGCAGAATTGCGTCCCTTGAGCACGTCAGAAACCTATGATTGTGGGTTCGAATCCCGATTCGCCTCGATTATGTTTCTAGGTTTGTCAGCACCATACCCGTGCTCGTGGGTTTCATCGAAGTGGTAAACGTCTGAGACCTGCATCACTTGGGGCTTTCCTCCCACATTAAACTAACACGCCGTGGTATAACTGGAATACTGTTAAAAGCGGCGTTAAACCAAACTCACTCACTCACTCATGATATAATATTTGTACTGATGATGTAAAGATATGACAGTTGTCACGTGAGAGCTATTTTAATATGAACACCCGATCCCGTTAGTCGCCTCTTACGACAAGCATAGTCGCCTTTTACGGCAAGCATGGGTTGCTGAAGACCTATTCTACCCCGGATCTTAATGAGTCTATCAACGGTCGTAAAGCTAACGGGCCAAAATGGTGAATTCAACAAACGCAAAATATTGTCAATACCTCATGATGTTTAAGCATAGAATATTTATAAGCTGATACATACTCATCACTGTAAGTCACGATAAATATACCAGGGGACTCGAGGAAGTCCGGAGTAGAATAGGTCTTCAGCATGCTTGCTGTAAAGGCGATTAACGGGATCGGCGTGGTCAGATTCGCTGACTTGGTTGATGCAGGTTATCCATCCCAATTGCGTGGATCGAGGCTCATGATGTCGATCACCCGACTCTCTAGTCCAGCCTCGATTATTTACAGACCGCCGTCATATAGCTGGAATATTGCTGAGTGCGGCGTTAACCAACAAACACACAAACAAACAATGTACCAGGGATGTATTAGTCAGCTACAAACTGATGGGTCCAGCGGGGATGGGGTTGGGGTGTGTCGGGTGGGGTGGAGGGCGGTGATGGCGTAGGGGACGACATGTGAAGGTCATTTTCAAATTGGACGCATCAGTGACAGAAGTGGTGTCTGATGCAATTCCCTTTTTTGACTGGTGCCAGATGTTAGCGTGTTTTTTATGTGAATGATTTACATGCGTTTGCATGTGTTTGTGATGGGCGCCACCGGCTGGGAAGGATACTCCTCACTATTTCATAGTGATTCATAAACATGTGCTAATAATAATAATAATGATTCGTGCAATAGACTTCGTACAAAGGGACCTGCTTTAATTGGAGATTTCTTATCATTGTAAAAAAAGATGTTTCTTTTCGCTTTTTTAAACAGAGAGTTCTTATGATTATGGGAAAAAATCAAGCTGTGATTATATTTGTGTGCTTTGAGATGTAAATGTATTGTGCATACCCTTTCGAAACTCCTTGACCCGCCTTTGTTGCGGTGATGAGTTTGTTTGTTTGTTTGTTTAACACCGCACTCAGCAATATTCCAGCTATAGAACGGCGGTCTGTATAAATAATCGAGTCTGGGCCAGACAATCCGGTGCTTGACATAATGTGCATCGATCCACGCAGTTGGGATACGATGACATGCATCAACCAAGTCAGCGAGCCTGACCACCCGATCCCGTTAGTCGCCTCTTACGACAAGCACGGGTTGCTTAAGACCCGGATCTTCACGGGTACCCCAGGCAAAGTAAAGTATAAATGTACTTGAAACAAAAAGGAAAAGAAAGGTCTCCTTTAGGCCACACGTCGCCCGTTGTATATATTTTAATGATGTGTTATATCGAGGTTACTTCAATCATCACATCGTGACAGCGTAGTGGTTAGCAATATTGCTGACACATCAAACACAATCGGGGATTCGAACACATAACTTGCTGATCGTGTCATCTAAGGGGCGCAACTCTGCAAAGCAAACGTCGGCGCCGAAGACCACGGGGCCACTCGTTGTCCTACATCGCTGCTAAATGCAAAAACAACTCATTATTTACATTGGAAGGAGGTTTTCTAGCGCCCGAAAGACTGACTTTCATGCAGCAGATCAGGTGCAATTTTTTATATAAAATGTATTTCTACAATTTACAGGAAACAGGTTCAGTTAACAAAAAAGTTTTCAGCAAGAGGTGTCCGGGTTTTTAAGTAGATCCCGAATCTATCTGCTTTTTTGTATTAGTTTTTATTTCGTTTGATTAGCAAATCTGACAGAAATTAGAATGAAAGAATTGATGATAATCTTTCAAGAATAATTGAGTCATTACTTTATCAGTATTTGTTTTATAACGTTTAACAAGTGCGTTGTATACTAAGTAAGGGTAATCGCAAAAACAGGCAGGAATTTTCGAAATGAAGCGTCCGAATTTGCTAGAATCGCCGTCCTCAAGGTTAGACGTACAAAACTGGGCGAGAAAACTACCGAAGCTTAACGTAGTTTCAATACAGATTTGATAACGAACAAATCATTAATTTCTCTAATGCCATTCGTCAAGCTTGGTCATTATTCCGGCGTCACAGTAGCGCTCTACACAAAACACGGAGTACGTAACAATGGCGTACCCAGCAAACGCTTTGAAAACCACAGTGCAGTAAATCCACAAATATTGACTCGAAACAAATGTGCTCATTTGCCGATTGAACACGCGTAAATATTATTTGTTCGGGTTACGCAGACCTACTCGCACATGTCACAGTTTACACACGAGAGTGGATATTACGAAATCCCAACACTGCTTTACGACAATTACACATTCGTATACATGTTCCGGGCCGAACCATAACAATATGGCGGACAGTCAGACTTCATCAACTCGGGAACCAAGCATTGGAATTCGGCATTAGCCACATACTTAATAGAATACCAGTTTAACATTACCTTTAGATTGTTTGCAGAGTTTTTATAACAGTGGAAAGTAAATTATGTCCCGCACCAAAGTGTCCTTCGCGTGCAGAAAGGGTGACTGTTTTGGATGGCTGGGTTCAAATACTCTCGTCAATAAATCCCTGATACAGTTCAGATGAATGGAATTTATATCGCTCAGTTATTAATCTTCGTGGTACATGTAAACAAATACCCATGTTCGACCGCTGTACAAGTTATCATGTGTAAACAAGCACCAAAGAAATACGAATGCACCCGCTATCGTGGATGATAGTGGAATGCGTGTCACGTGACCCGTGAAGTCACATGACCAGCGTAACAGACGACGCCACCGTGAGAATATAAGTGCGTCACGTGACCCGGTGTTTTACATACGGTCACGTGACTGGATACAGCTGGCTTCGTTACTATTAATTACCTGAGGAATTTCCACCCCTAACGGCCTCTAACGGAGCTTTGGACCCGCCAATCACACGACGGGGTGTGGGTTTCGTACTACGGGATAAAAATCTTTACTATAAGCTAGCGAGGGGTCTGATCAGCTTGCTATAGTACCGCTATCTGGCTCGGGCCTACACCACGAGTACCTGGGCTGGACGAGTGAAGGGGACATCAGTAGTTTGTATTTATCGAAGCGATATTCAAGGAAATACACACAGATGTGAGAGTTTTCCCAATGGATTGCATTGAACATTCCGATGGATTGTAAAGTTTGGAAAAGTTGGTGAGTAACGTTTTGTTTACATTTTGTTCAACATGTCAAATTATTGTTGTCATTTATATATATATATATATTTAAAATGTTATTCGAGAATATTTTTATATTCAACTGATTTGTGTTCTTGTAGGTCGGCAATTCTTTTTTTATACATGGTAGGTTTAGTTGTAAAAAATGATAGCTGGCTTATTCTTGAATAGCTCTGTGAGTCAACATTTTGAAACCAATACACGTTACACGTTAACCCAAATGTTTTGTTATTTATGCATTAAAAAAAACGTTTCAATGCACAGTGGAAAAAGGTGGGTAAACGTCCAATATGCTGATTTATTAGGCGGGTCGAAATGACTTCATAATTATGCAAAACCACTTTATATGTATTGATACACTATTTTCACATCACAATAATTATACTTATTTGGCATTATAACGAGGAATATCATTAAGGCGTTGTGGGCTCGTGTTGTGTGTCTCTATTACGCGCTATAGTGAGAAAGAGCGGAACAATAAAACAAGCATAACGGTACTTGACACAAAAATAGCTCAAGGTTACACAAAAGCAGAGCGGAGACAGCGATAATAGGGGCAATGCTGCCTCACCTGGGCGGCGCTTTGTTTGATGTCCCTACCTGTCTTGGTACATCTGAGTTCCCATAATATAATCATAAAAATATCGGTAACTACCTCTTGCATGTAATCATAATTATCTCGACCCATATTGCAGGTAACACCTTCCTATATTGATACATGTAATTTGATAACACCCACGAGAAGTAACAACTACAGGTTGATGCTATTATTGATAATGACTTGCTTTTCTGATAACTTTCGAAATCAGTTTCTTTGCCCGGACGTAATTATACCTGGTCACAATTATCCGCCGGTGATAACGCCATGCTCCGATTTGCCAAGGTGATAATCTGATATTTGGAACATGTGATAATTACAGATAATACTCGGTCCCTAATTAGTGATTTTCGGCTTGTTAGCGGAGAATGGGTACAGGTCGTGTAGCGCTTTCTGGGAGGACACCTGCTTCAGTATTAAAATAGGTTGTTGATGATGATGATGATGATGATGATGATGATGGTGATGATGATGATGACGATGACGACGATGATGATGATGATAGGACACCGGCTTCAGTATTAGGTTGTTGATGATGATGATGATGATGATGATGATGATGACGATGACGACGACGATGATGATGATAGGACACCGGCTTCAGTATTAGGTTGTTGTTGATGATGATGATGATGATGATGATGATGATGATGATAGGACACCTGCTTCGGTATTAAAATAGGTTGATGATGATGATGATGATGATTATGATGATGATGGTATATTGTTATCCTACAAACGCTGAACAGTAACGTCAGTAACAACAATCCTAACACAACGACGCTGTCCACGACGCAGTACGTTATGATGCCAAGAGGTTTATTATGACGATGTCTTTCATATACGAGAGTCAAATGTTTCATAAGGACGCATCCATCTTTTCCCTCTTTCATTACGTCGAGTATTTTATGATGACAAACAAAGCTATACACTTCAATCAGTAGAAACACGAGTAGGATTTATGTAAGAAAATTCGAAAATCAACGCATCCTTGTCAAAACAGGGAGCTGTTTGCTAAATTTTATGGTCTAATTAGCATCGGAAAAAAACAAAGGAGGTAATTTACTGACTTGTGTTAATGGTCGGCGTCATTGATTAATTGGCTAATTTCCCCTACAGTATTTACAGCCAGGAAGATACGCACATTTTCCTTTAAAAGACGCCGTTTTACCTCTCAGCGTTTTCTGAACACCGCCAACGAAATTCCCGACTTTCGGTGAGCGCAATCCATACGGGCGAAGGTTCGTGTTGTCGGGCGTGGTATAAGGGAGACAACTCTTACCAGACTAATCTGCCACGCGAGTGTGTCGCGCATGCACTCAACAGCACGAGGCCGCTTACAACCTTTTCAAACTGCCATGCTTAGTAAATTTACACAATTAACCTTCATGATGTAAATGTTTCCACAGATCACAGTTTGTTTCCGATTTGTTTTGTATGTAAATATTTAAATAAGTGCAGTTTGTAACATCGGGAAACAGCGAACCACGTGACGCTTTTGCACCGAATGAACCGCCCAACGCGTGCACTTAGCAATACGACAATCTGGATTGCTTGCAAATACGGGGAATTGAAAACAAATTCCCCGTTGTCAAGAACATGTTTACAACCAGTCACGACAAGGTAATGGAGTACTAAATATGTCCACACCTTGGCCTTGTCATACCGTTCATGCATATATTAAGACGGAATCGTTTGTTTCCAAAAGGTATGTCGACAGGATGTCTGTTATATACCAGTGAGAAGATCCATGAAGATCCGGGACAGAACAGGTCTTCAGCAACGCATGCTTGTCGTAAAAGGCGACTAGGCTTGTCGTAGGAGGCGACTATGCTTGTCGAAAGAGGCAACTAACGGGATCGGGTGGTCAGGCTCGCTGATTTGGTTAATGCATGTCGCATCCCAATTTGGTGGCTCGATGCTCATTATGTCAATCATTGGGTTGCCTGGTCCAGACTCGATTATATACAGACCGCAGTCATATAGCTTGAATATTGCTGAGTGCGGCGATAAACAACAAACAAATTATACCAGTAGAGTGGCCGATTTGAGTTGGAAATTTTGTTTGCCGGGGTAGCCCCACAAAAGCTGCATTAGGGTGCGTCGTCCATGCCACGCCTCATCGGTGAAGTGTGTATTGCACCATCGGAATTTATATGACTTGGGGAAATACTGTGTGGGCGGTTTACCATGTGACCGCCCCGAGTCTAACCAAGCCTGTTGCCAAGTGGTGGTATAACGAGGAACGCTGGGGTCGGCCCCAGTCTGAGGGCTGTGTCTGTCCTTATCAACAACCTGTCGTAAGAGTCGACTAACGGGATCGGGTGGTCAGGCTCACTGACTTAGTTGATGTATTTCATCGTATCCCAATTGCGATGATCGATGCTCATGATATCAATCACTGGATTGTCTGGTCCAAACTCGAATATTTACAGACAGGCGTCATATTCCATAGCTGGAATATTACTCAGTGCAGCGTTTAACAACAAACAAACAAACAAACAGAAACAGTGTGCCCTCTCCGTGGTGAATTATTGCTGAGAGAGAGGCGGCATAAAATTCTACGAAAGATAGAGTGCTTTTCTTTCGGCGCAGAAAGAATATGGCACCAGAAGTCAGCCATCTTGCCCCATCACAACAAAACTTCGTACTCACTAACGCATCGCGATCCCACATCGGGACGACATGCGCTTGTGTGATTCATTTTGATAACTCCACCCGTCCGATTAATATTTCACCCCCTACCCCTGACTCAACTCTGCCACGCCCTCCTATTTCTTACCCATCTGTACATGTCAAACATTTCGACACAATATCTGGTCATAACTACCCCCCACACCCTCAAATGACAAACAAAGTGATTACATTATCGCAGTGTTAGGAAACCAAAATGACACGTGCTATATTTGGAGTGTAATACGTTCCAAAGCTGCAATATACACCGCTGATCAGTTTACGTCGTCCTTTAAATTCACAGCCTGTTGAATCTGATAGATGATATCACTTTTCAACCCCTTCTCCTTGGGGTTGGGGGAGTGGGGGCGGGCGCATGGGGTACAAAGCCGACCCCCCCACCCCCCACCCTCCACCCCAACCCCCACCCCACCCCTCACTCTCGACAGCCGTACTCTCAGCCAATGTTCATGTTTCAAGCAATGCATGTCAGTGTAAGGTCAGACAGATTGTTATGCTACTGTGTCAAGTGAAATAGACGCTTGTTCATTTCACCAACAGCCACGTGCTGCGTGTGCTATGACTCGACAGCGTGCCGCAACACTTCCTTGTGGGTAAACCCTCAGCGAAGAGGTATCGCGTTGTCGTTTTAAAGGCCCACCCCGTCCTAATTGTTCACTTATAATTAAATATAACACGTTGTATTTAAAGTTCTTTACCAGATTTCACAATGACCTCAGACCATATAAATTGTTATAATGTTATAATTCTCTAAAGAGGTTGTGACGTAAAAAACCCGGAAGAAAATGTATTGTCGGTGCGATATATTTCTTGAAAACAAACTGATGACAAACGTGCTCAATCAGAAAAATATTGATAGGAAAACTACAACATTTACAGCAAAACTAACTGATGGAGATCCGTGAAAATTCGGGCTAGACGTGCTCTCCACAAATCATGCTTGTCCTGAGGCGACTGGGCTTGTCGTAGGAGGCGACTATGCTTGTCGAAAGAGGCGACTAACGGGATCGGGTGGTCAGGCTCGCTGATTTGGTTAATGCATGTCGCATCCCAATTTGGTGGCTCGATGCTCATTATGTCAATCATTGAATTGTCTGGTCCAGACTCGATTATGTACAGACCGCAGTCATATAGCTTGAATATTGCTGAGTGCGGCGATAAACAACAAACAAATTATACCAGTAGAGTGGCCGATTTGAGTTGGAAATTTTATTTGCCGAGGTAGCCCCACAAAAGCTGCATTAGGATGCGTCGTCCATGCCACGCCTCATCGGTGAAGTGTGTATTGCACCATCGGAATTTATATGACTTGGGGAAATGCTGTGTGGGCGGTTTACCATGTGACCGCCCCGAGTCTAACCAAGCCTGTTGCCAAGTGGTGGTATAACCTTATAGTCCTTATCAACAACCTGTCGTAAGAGGCGACTAACAGGATCAGGTGGTCAGGCTCGGTGACTTGGTTGACGTATGTCATCGTATCCCATTTGCGTAGATCGATGCTCATGATGTCAATCACTGGTTATTCATGGACAGAGCTAGACACACTTCCCGATGATGAAAGCGCAATGTGACCTGAATGGCAAAAGAAAGTAAACCGAGTTTTTTTGTCATTGAAAATTAAAAAAAACTGTTATTAAATTTGCTTATGTCTAATTGATCATTACTCACTTCTGCTACAGTTTGTTAATAAGTAATATGTTGTTGGATAATTTTGTTTTCAAATAGATTGATCCAATGAATACGGGGGTAAGAAATGAATTTGCAGCCACAAGACATTTACAACGTGTAAAGTGAACATTTGTGACGAAAGAAAAGCAAATGTATTGCTTTCAAATATAAAATGTCAAAGAGTTTTTAGTTTTGAAATCTGTTTGATCAATTTATATTTCAAGAAATACAATCATGTAGAAGAATTCTTTGAGTGCTTTGAGTTCCAGTGCAGTTCATGTTTTGGATATAATATCGCTGACTTAACATATTTTGCAATTAGAAATCAAAGATATGATTAAATCAACCGAGACGCTGTGTGAGAGGTGTAGTTTGTCCTAATTACGATACAAAATGATAATACAGATACAATACCTGAAATAAACACAAACATGTTCAAAACATCATTCTGGCACCTATTGTGGGTGATCGATGTGTCAATGTCTAACGAAATTTACCGATGTAAATATCACCATTTCTATGCTCCGTTGGTGCGTTCTGGTGATATTGACAACTGCGACATCGATCACATTGCAATGGAAGTATTGTCTATTGCAGCTTATAGCTAAAGCGATATTGCAATAGTTCATAGGGGGGATAATGTAGCACACGGACAGATGGACCCTCAAGGGAACAATTCGCAGCCGAGTCATAACGCTCACAAGCGACAGCAAATGATTCTCGATCCGCCATCGATCATGGCCCTAATTTGCCGTTATGCCTTCGGCAAAGATCCCGTGCTGCGCGTGCAGTTCGAGCTCACGGGCCGTATAGGAATTCCATGGACAGTTTATTTCGTTGACACTGTGGGAATAATTTATAAGCATACCCGTGACACTAGCTTTATCGATTAGTATGCAGTACAGTTCACCCGACTTGGTATAAAATGACAGGTAAGAACAAACAAGGTTAGTTGTGCTTTGGTGTCGCTGCAGGCAATACTTGTTAATGGCTTAATTTTCAGCGCATGGGACGTCCAAGAAGCGCGACCGGTTAATCTGTCAGCTGATTGGTCAGTTTTCAGTGACATCATTTTGCACGTGGTTTCCCCGGAGATTGCTAACATCAATGGTACCTGAAATGGTTTCTCATATATATTTCAGATTAAGCGTGCACTGTTTCGGGACTGTCAGTAAAGGTCCCGCCAAACGATAACTGATGAAGTGAGCAGACGACGCCTGAAGCAGACGACACCGCGGGCAGACGACAATTTCACGTGATCATGGAAAAGTCGGATTCCGTGCAGAGGGGAATGTATATACCTATGGAAGCAATTCAAAGGGATTTGGTATCTAGGTACGGAAATGTGCGGGTATTAGTTGTCCCGAAGGAGAGAAGCTCATCGACTTCTTCGTGCAAGGAAAATGAGGACTGTTTTTCAAAAGCGGACGGGAATGTGTTCGAGGACGATTCAGAGTGGGTCATTTCGGACAGTAAATCGAGAAGTTCTCCCGTTTCCCCAGACTTTTCTTATAGGCCGAGGCAGGTGTTTGACTACAGAGGGCAACAAGACGCTGAGAGGTTCACACAAGAACGAAAAGATGCAGAGGTAATATTTCCCTTTTTGTCTAAAACGAACGAGGAATATACTCGGATGGAGGGAGGGGATGATGTGTGTGTGGATCGGTGTGTGTGTGTGTGTGTGTGTGTGTGTGTGTGTGTGTGGATCGGTGTGTGTGTGTGTGCTTGCATTAGTCCGAACTTATGCCGGTTTTATAGTGCAGACCACCTCGATGCCGCAGTTTAACATGCATACCCCATTCACACAGTATACTGACTCCGAGCCGACCAGTCCTCGTTTTATACCCTAAATGCATGGACAACAACAAATACCACCTTGTGTCGGGTATACTAACAGTAAGTGTACAAGAACACGATACCTAACTCATATGGTTCTATTTATTCAAATTTACACAATTACAGGACACGGATTAAGATAACACAAAATGTACCCTTCAGCGATCGGGGAAAATGACAACTTGTGTTAAAACCAGTAACACGTTTTAATATTTCATGCCGTAAGAAGAATGAGAATGTCGGTAGCGAACCTTTCCCATAAAATTTAAGATACCCGTATATGAGACATGGCGGTTAAATCCAAATAGGCGCATGAAGGAGTCCCTTTTAATCATCTTGAGGTCACGCCCTGTAGAAAAAAAATGTGAACAATGCGTCATTATAATTATAAGGAACTTCTGGCAAATATAAAAATAAAATAAACGAGAAATTTCAGATTGAATTTCAACTCGATGCATTGACAGACGAGACATGTAATCAATAAAAAATGATCATAAATTATAATAAGAATTGGACATTGTTTGAAATGAGATAACCTCAGGACGTCCGCGTTAACAGTTTGTATTTCTGGTATCGAAAATTGCTACCAATACCATTGACGTTGGTATTATCATCGTGTATTTGCGGAACTTGCTTCTAACAGTCTGCGATTATATAACAATTTCAAACTCATCTCTCGGTATTCACGCACAGCTGCAGGGATTCATAATGAAAGCACAACGCCCAAACGGGATAATTTCGGGTGTAAATTGATCAGTTGGTGTTGTGAAAAATAGTCCATATATTTTAAAGGCACGTGCGTAAACGGTTGCTTCCGGGATACGTAGGTGCGATTGCAAGCTGCGATTGGTTGATTTGTTGTGTCCGTTGCTGCAGTGACAAAGTAGTTCGCGAAAAAAAATAGTCCTTTCACTGAAACAAAATCAATATTGTTTAATATGTGTTGACAACAGATGTGAATAGGCTTCACGTGTGAAGAAGGCTGGGTAACTGCATGAAGTGAAACGAACCGTCTTATGCTCAGCACAGAAAGAGTCTTAACATAAGAAACGACTTAACAGAGACTGCTTTGACACACAAACTGAAACTGACACTTTTCCAGACTCGATAATATATTGTTGCCTCAAGAATCAGAATATCGACATGTTCAGTTAGCTCGCTCGGTAATTGGCCGTCCATCTATTTGTTACGTTAATTTGTGAAACAGACACGACAAATCAATATCTTATTTCAAACTGGATTCAGACGCTTCGCTCGTGTCATACGTGTTATTTCCTGACGCAATAATATATGACTGTTACCGCTGACGTTAATTGAAACGTAGTTCAGTGACGTTAATTGAAACGTAGTTCAGTGACGTTAGTTTAAACGTAGTTCAGTGACGTTAATTTAAACGTAGTTTAGTGACGTTAGTTTATACGTTGTTCAGTGACGTTAATTTAAACGTAGTTCAGTGACGTTAATTTAAACGTGTTCAGTGACGTTAGTTTAAACGTAGTTTAGTGACGTTAATTTAAACGTAGTTCATCGACGTTAATTTAAATGTAGTTCAGTGACGTTAGTTTAGACGTAGTTCAGTGACGTTAATCTAAACGTAGTTCAGTGACGTTAATTTAAACGTAGTTCAGTGACGTTAATTTAAACGTAGTTCAGTGACGTTAATTTAAACGTAGTTAAGTGACGTTAGTTTAGACGTTGTTCAGTGACGTTAATTTAAACGTAGTTCAGTCAGTAAAAAGCTGAGTGAGTTGGTGTTTAATGTTGCTGGGTCGTTTTGTGGAACGAACGTCTGCCAGGAGAGCCGAAGGTCGCTGGTTCGATCCCTGGCCGCGCCATACCAACAACGTTAAACTATGGTACTTGTTGTTACCCTACCTCACGCTTGGCTTTAAGGGAAGGAAAGAAAACTCCATTTCTCCTCATCTCACATACAACATCGTTGAAGCGATTTTGTCATTCTCAAACGTTTTGGTTACCAGTAAGATAGCAACACGTATAACATTGGCGCCTGTGTGCATGATGAGATATGTCACCAGTATCATAACAAAGAAATATACCACGTGTCAGCTACGGCGCATGTGTATATCACAAGTAAATCATCATTTACCATACGTTAACTGTGGCCAGAGTTTAGCATCGTTTTGATACACAGCTACAGGTCACAGGTTAGCTTTCGCAAGTGAATATATCACAGTTATAGTAACAGTGATATTGCACGCGTCAGTTATGCCCCTGGCTAGATCAAGGCTATATCAGGTGCAAAGAGCAAAGACCACGCATAAACTCTGAAGCAGAGCGCCGTCCGACAAAGTGTTCAGGTGATCGCAACTCCCATACTTTAACATTGACTTATGATAGTGGAGACGCTAAGATGATCGCAACTCCCATACTTTAACATTGACTTATGATAGTGGTGACGCTAAGATGATCGCAACTCCCATACTTTAACATTGACTTATGATAGTGGTGACGCTAAGATGATCGCAACTCGCATACTTTAACACTGACTTATGATAGTGACGCTAAGATGATCGTAACTCCCATACTTTAACATTGACTTATGGTACTGGTGGCGCTAAGATGATCGCAAGGCCCATACTTTAACATAAACCTTTGGTACTGATGGCGCTAAGACGATCGTAACTCCCATACTTTAACATTGACTTATGATAGTGACGCTAAGATGATCGCAACTCCCATACTTTAACATTGACTTATGATAGTGACGCTAAGATGATCGCAACTCCCATACTTTAACATTGATTCATGATAGTGGTGGCGCTAAGGTGATCGTAACTCCCATACTTTAACACTGACTTATGATAGTGACGCTAAGATGATCGTAACTCCCATACTTTAACATTGACTTATGATAGTGGTGTAACTAAGATTATCGTAACTCCCATACTTAAACATTGACTTATGATAGTGGTGGCGCTAAGGTGATCGTTAATCCAATACTTTAACATTGACTTATTATAGTGGTGGCGCTAAGATGATCGTAACTCCCATACTTTAACATAACTTATGATAGTGGTGGCGCTAAGATGATCGCAACTCCCATACTTTAACATTGATTCATGATAGTGGTGGCGCTCAGGTGATCGTAACTCCCATACTATAACATTGAATTATGATAGTGGTGCTAAAATGATCGTAACTCCCATACTATAACATTGAATTAATATAGTGGTGGCGCTACGATCGCTTTGTGGGACGGGGCCGAGGTGTATAGCACCATATCGCAACACCACGAGGCCATGAACGTATTTAGACAGAGGTCAAGAGTACTTGTAGGAGTATTTGTCCAACACGCCCTCAAATCGGTAGGCCAGCAAAAACACGCACATTGCAACTGATGTATGCCAGCAGCAGCACACTGCATAGCAAGCAGGTCAACATGAGAGGCCTATGCAGTTTTCGAGTCGCATCTGCCAGTTATACTTCAACACTAGGTCAAGAGTGTTACAGGCGGATAAACAATCGTTTGGAGTTTGTTTGTTGTTTAACGTCACACTCGGCAATATACGTAAGACCCCGATTGGTGTACGGGTGGGTTTGTTGCTGAAGACGGCGCTGTGCGGAGTTGCTGAAGACGCCGCTGTGCGGAGTTGCGTTCCTTTAGCGGGACAAAAACCTCTGATATTGGGTTCGAATTCCGGTTCGCACTAATTCTGTTTCTAGGTTTGTCAGCACCTTGCTCTTGCTCCTAGGTTTTGCCAAGTGGTAAACGTCTAAGACCTGCATCACTTCGGGCTTGACCCACACGCTGTGGTATAACCAAAATACTGTTCAAAACTCTCTCACTCACTCACTCACTCACTCACTCACCCACTCACTCACTCACTCACTCAATCACTCACTCAATCTCTTACTCACTTACCCAAACCACCCACCCACTCACTCACTCACGCACGCACGCACGCACTCACGCACAAACTCACTCAATTACAAACTAACTCACTCACTCACTCACTCACAAACTCACTCACAAACTAACCCACTCACTCACCCAAACAGCCCACCTACCCACCCACTCACGCACGCACTCACTCACTCACTTTACAATGGAATCGTATAAAACTAATGCATACAATTCATACACATTTTCTTGTACATCGTAATGGGTAATCTGGAGTATGGTTGTACGGCTGTACACTCAGTGACAGATTTACGATATGGCAATCATTATCCAATCACTTTCACTAATCACCAATCTGCCATTGCATCCGATTTGCATCCTTTGTTGCTTTTGCATCAAACAGAAATAGCAAGAATTCCATCTCCAATACAACAAATAACAAAGTCATCTTTGATAATAGGTCACTCGTTAACAATACTTTCCCTTTACCCAGCATCGACCCGTCAATGCCGCGCTAAAGTGCTAAATATTTATTTTACCCAAATCCCCAATTTACCCCATCGAAATTTGTCACGTTCGCATCACTGTAATCAATGGTGACACGGAAAAGACTCAACCATCCTTAAACAAAACGTACTTGAATATCGCAGCCACCGTCTTGGTATTGTGGGCATGGACAATGGCTTCAGCGGGCCTTTGTTCGGAGCCTATTCTTTCAGCAAGGTGACTTCGATCTTGCCAAGCAACGGTATTTCCACCATCGCCGGGTAGGTGAATAAATGATATGCGTGTGCAATGCTAGACTTAGCAGAGACTTTGTCCTTTCCCATGGCCCGACGTTCATGTATGGATTAGTCCGTTGAGAATAAGGACGATATTTTAGGACGTGATCTGCAATGTTTGTATCAACTCACGAATAGGATGAATTTTTTTTTGGTTCTCACGAGAACGCTGATCATAAAAGATTCAATTTTGAGCCTTTCAAAATATTGATTAGGTGTATTTCCTTAATCCTATTATTTCAGTGGTTTGCAACAAACTTCGATCAACTTTGTTGCATCGGGTATTGATTTCTTCTTTTTTTTTGCTTTTAAGAATTGGGTCGCATGAACCCGGTGCTTGATTGATCATTTACCTATTGGAATGTTATGGGCATACACAGCTTGGGTGATTGAAAACCGATGCCAATTTGTCATCTACACCGTTAACTATTCTGTAGCTGTGAGGTGAGGTGAAATGGGGTTTAACGTCGCGTCCAAGATTATTGCACTTACATAGCGACGTGCATGTACGTGTGTGTGTGTGGCTGCTGGTACTAGTCCGGACTGATGCCGATTTATAGTGCTAGCTCACTGAGATACCATGCCGCAGTTGAACATGAATACCCCACTCAGACACAGTATACTGACTCCGAGCCGACCAGTCCTTGTTTTAGCCCCTTAATGCCGAGCGCCAGACAGGGTAACAACAAGTACCATCTTTTAACGTCTTTTGGTATGACGCGGCCGGGGATCGAACCCCGGACCTTCCGCTCTCCGGGCGGACGCTCTACCACTAGACCACGGAGGCGGTCCTGTAGCTGTGAATATGCACGTGTATATATATCACTAATCCGCCCAACCGTATTTGGGCACAGGCAGAAATTTCAATCTTCTTAATAGGAAAGGAGTAGGTAGGTTATATTTTATGTTCTATTTCAATTTCTAAACCATTCCATCTTAAATTAATAAGCAAGAACGGTATTTCTGGTGGTTGGGACTGGTTGCGTCGAAACGTGCCTCGCAATCTAATACTAAAAAGTAATAATTGAGTGATGTTAGCTTGTATAATTATTAAATTATAGGGTAGGGGCGATTTTTACTATTGATCGCTAAACAGAAACAAGAACATATATTTTGTCCTTATAAGGTGGCAGTGGCGGAAAAGAAAACAATGTCATAACTTGTACAATATATTCTCTCATTCAATTCCAGATTCTCAAATCCAAGACTGAATCAACGCCAAAACGTGTACCGGAAGTGCTCCAGACGCCATTACGTTACGAGAAGGTAGGCGACGAGAACTCGAGTCTGACTCCCCGCAAACCTGCGGAGCCAGATCGACAACCCGGAGACAGTATGTCGGAGAAGATCAAGAGGCAACTGTTTGCAGGAATTGAAAACGAATATAGAGTCATCCGAAATGGTAAGAACGACATGCTGGTTTAGAAACGTTATTGAGTGTAGATCAGGAGTACGTGTTGGATTGCCGTTCTGAAAACTTCTCCGGTTACTTTCTGTGACGTTTCGGTTCAAACAATTCAAACAATTTCATACAAAATTGAAAGGAGAGAATTTTGCCGCAGGTTTAACAAATAACATACTTGATGGAACTATGTAGTGAACAAAACAACGGTTTTTTTTGAACAAATATTCTGTCTCTAACGAAAAACCCTAAGTGCCCAATACCTAAGTCTTAACAGCTACAGCCTTACAACTGCCATTGTTACTGCTGCTGCCTCCACTGCTACTACTACTACTACTACTACTACAACTACTACATCAAACTCAATGCTCATAATCTACCTTGACATTCCAGATACGTACCACCGGGTACCCCCCGAGCCGCACGATGACGTGTACTTGGAGCGCCACCGAGACTCCGACAATCACCACATGTACTTTACCTACCGGGACAAGAGGTCCCCGGGTCCCGAACATCCGCGGGCGTTCTTCGAAAGGGACTTTACATACCACGACCGTCCTCTCCCCTCTCCCTCCTGGGCCACGCCCACGCCGCCCTCGTCGTTCCCAGACCATCACAGATGCGACTGTATGCAACGACCCATGGAGTCCGGTAGAGAGCGGTTAGAAATGACAAAGAAACGGAAATTTGGTACGCACATATGCTTATTTTTGTTTCCGGGCGGTGGGGTAGCCTAGTGGGTAAAGCGCTGTCTCGTCACGCCGAAGACCCGGTTCGATTCCCCACATGGGTACAATGTGTGAAGCCCATTTCTGGTGTCCCCTGCCGTTATAATGCTGGAATATTGTATAAAGCTGCATAAAACCATACTGAATCAATTTTCCTGTAATTTCAAAGAACTGGCGTCGTTCAAGAAAGTTTGCGGTAGACAAGTCACGTGGTGTTTTGTGCATTTTGTAGCAGATTGACAACTTTGTCACTTGATTCTCGATATAGAATTGAGAACATTTATTTTTTCGATGGACCTGTGAAGGTCTACGGTACAATAGGTCTTCACCAACCCATGCTTGTCGTAAGAGGTGACTATGCTTGTCGTAAGAGGCGACTAACGGGATCGGGGGTCAGACTCGCTGACTTTGTTGATGCATGTCATCGTATCCCAATTGCGTTGATCGATGCTCATGATTTCAGTCACTGGATTGTCTTAGCCAGACTCGATTATTTACAGACCGCCGTTATATAGCTGGAATATTGTCGAGTGCGGCGTTAAACAACAAACAAACAAACAAACAAATATTGTTTCGATGCTTTGGATGTTGGCGCTTTGTGACACATACCAGACCTCATAGTATTGTTTGTTTGTTGTTTAACGCCGTACGTTTCTATGACGACGGCCTGTAAATGATCGACTCTGGACCAGACAATCCAGTGATTGATATTGCTACCAACGATCCACGCTGTAGGGGTACAGTGACACACCATCAACCAAGCCACCTTGCCTGACGACCCGATCTTTCGAACAGCAGAGGATCCTCGGTGCCAAATCTTACCCGGTTACAATGTGACTGGTTAATTGATATTTCTAAAAGCGGCGTAAAACAACACACATGCACTGTTGATATTAGAACCGTATGAGTTACCTCCCCTTTAATGTGACACTTGTTTTTTTTGTAGGTGATACATCTTCGTCAGAAAACACAGTCCCGCTTTCACCGAGGATCAAGAAACAGAAATGCACGTGCTCAATGATGGAGATGAACTTCCTGCAGATGGCGGAAGCCGCGTATAAGAACATCCGGCGACAAGACACGACTCCAGCAAGTTTCGAACAGTTCAGTCGAGAACTTGTCCAAACGAACAGTGTGTTGAAAGAATCAGTCAGCATTCTGTCGACCATCCGTGAAATGTGCGAGCATCGGAACTGTATACGAAACTGAAAGCACCAACAGACCATAGACTATTTATTCACCACACGAGGACAATATTTATTATAATTTATGATCACGTGTGACATGACGTCACACAAAGATCCCAATGCTTCATGTCCGTCCAGGATATAATTCTGTTGCAAGATGGCCGCCTCAACGAATACTTCCGGTGAGGAAAGGCAGATATTTATTCCATCCACACAAAGTACCGCAAGTGCTTTATGTCCCAAAGACGTATTTTATTAGTCTTATTTATGACACTGTATCGGCTGTAAGGCCAAGACACGTGTTTCATGTTTCCCCGTCCGATGTGCTGAAGTAGCGCTATAGATTATGTCTCAACACATACATTCCCCTAATACAGTAAACTATGGTTATAACGAACTAAAGGGAACCACTTATTTTAGTTCGTTATAACCGTAGTTCGTTATAAGCATATATACAACAAATGGCTTGGACTAAGAAATATGTTCGTCATATCGGTCAGTTCGTTATAAGCGTGTTCGTTATAAACGTAGTTTACTGTACTACATATCTCGCAATCAAGGGAACCAGTCACATTTTCCACATCAAAGCAAAGCGTAAAAGCCTAAAACCTAAAGTGCCTAATTAAAAGCTTGTTGAAAGTGCTTGACATGACACTCTCAATGTCTGAATCTCCTTGTGGTGTCAAGACGGTGGTTTTGAGAATTCCAATTTATCATTCTTATCGCTTTGCACGACCTCGGAGATCAGGAATCGTCACCGTTCCTCGTCACGTTGGCATATGGCGATTTGGGCCCAGCTCGATGCAAGTCAATCTGGCGTCTGCTTACCTACTCAAGGCAGCCGCAAATCAAGAGAAGAATCCGACTTAAGTTAATATGATTATTATATTACACCTGAACGCTCTGTGCTTAATCATGGGTTAATGAGAGAAAGACAGGTAATAATGCCCTGTCGATCAATAATTTCAAATATCGATGTCGCTATCAGCACTGGGGGCGAGGAGGAAATGGCATCTCACTTTACGGTTGTCGTGATGGTTTACGACATTCGGATTAGCTAATTTCACGATCGCGCTCCACTGACGTACATGATTAGGACCGAATGTAACTATGGTTTGGTTTTCGGTTGTCGTAATTAGATCAGGTAGTAATATTGACCCAAATGACGGTTTCGATGTCATTCCAAACTGACAGTTAGGTACGTTACTGTGTCGTTTTTTACACATCAACAGTTTATATGATTTGTAATTTACAAATTGGTTTCCAAAGCTCCATCGTCATCATTCCATATTCTATAATTTGAAATCCAGTATACATCCACAAAAGTGTTCAATCCAAGTGTATTTATTTCAGTATTTACGTTTTTGTTTACACCAGGTTGTTCAGTCTTTTGACATCACAGTGGTTTTGTTGAAACATTATTGTTCGATTTCTATATTCAAACGTACCTCTCATTTTGACAAGTGCTAAAACATTTCATTTCTCCCATCAAATATTCATAACCCACTCATCGATAAGACCTTCACTCTTGCTCTGAGAATCTTACATTTCCCAACGTTAAATCTTTAATGGAAAACATAGTAGCAGCTCCTTTGTTTGAAAGATATCAAATGAACATCTTCGATTTGAATATTAATTTCTTATTAATATTTAGCAGGTGGAAAGGACAAAGTTCAAATTGAACGGGCAGGTATGTGCTAAGGAAATTGAAGTCTAGTGTCATGTGTCATGTGTCATGCCATGGCATATGAGTCCACTGCAAGACTGACATACTGACAAGAGTAATTTAGGGAATAGTTTTAGAAAAAAATTGTTACGTTTCACAAATGTTTGACGTACTCAGATGACAGAAAAATCTTTCTTGACTGCGTGTTATCACCCGCTATCTTAATTATTTCTGTTTGACGCTTAACATTCCGGGTAAATCGTATGCTACACGTGGAAGCCATTAAGCCATTTGCAAACGCTATTGATCGTCAGTGTAGGATAAGACCTGTGTTTACTGACGTGATTGTCTCATTTGTTAAACGGAGTTTCTCAAATATGGTTATGGCATTTGCTCTATGTTTTATTAACAGGAGAAAATTCACTCTTTGATGCGGTTAAACAAACGTACACGTATGGGTTATAAATAAACAATAAACCCCCAGCACCAACCGTAATTACTTCCTTGAACATGTTTGACATGCGCACTACGCCTGTGTTTGTATTGTTAGATATATTTGTCAGATATTATCAGAATAATATCAATTAGTCATGGCTTCTGTCCCGAAATGGTTTATCGAATATATTTTATCCAATTTCCGTAAGATTATAAAGTTGGTACTTTGGATGAAATATTCTTTTGTGATTAATTTAGATCATATTATAGATTTATTTTTCATGCAGATTGCATCTAAATGAATGTTTTATAACAGAACGATTCCAAGCATGCGCGTTGCTATGCAAACAGATCATTTTTCATATGCATAATGCATCATATGCATTTTATATAGTGAAACTTGTACATTCCATGCATATATCAGCGTGTGTCATATTGCAAGTGTCCATTGTGTATCAGATGCGTTTTTCGCATATATATCATGATTCTTTCCGAATCTGAAGAGACATCATTATAACGTTTACATGTTGTTTGCATATATGAAGATACTTTATCCTTACCTTGTGATAATATGCTTTTACACATTTTTATACACCTCTTCGTTATGCCAAAATTTGACCCGTTTTATCGAAACAACTGAGTCTAAGTTGTGTAAAAGAATTAAATAAAATAAGATGTCAACCTGGCTTGAAAAGCAATTAGTTCGTTAACAATCTAATTTGCATTTAATTCTGATTGGAATCCAAGTTTCGGTATAGCGGAGGGAAGTATGAGTGCCGTGTGCCTGTAATGAATGATAATATCGATATCACGATATTTAATCATCGATAACTCGGTTATCGACCTGCCCTACATCCGTCCAGCATTGTATTATAGACTGACTGTATTACCTGACGTTGTGCTCGTGTAGTGGTTTCTTAAACTTGTTCGTGTGTGGACATATGTACATTTGAATATAGCTCTCATGTAGCTTGAGTGAGTGAGTGAATGAGTGAGTGAGTTACCTTTCTTCAATATTCAGACAGTAGCACAGCACTGGACATCGAGAATGAGCCTCAAGCATTGCCCCCTGTCGGAGAGTGAACCCGAGGCTCTAGCGTGACGTAATTGGTGACGACCAATCTACAGCAACTGCTGCAAGGGCAGATATATTTTTAATTAAAACTATGCGCCTAAATATTGTTTCAACTAAATCATCTTGCAACAATATTTTTTTTTATTTTTTTTTCGTTGCTCACATTTTTTATTATTTCCAAGCATTTTCTGGGATAATATTTTTTCGATCAATTCACCGGCCCCTAGAATATAAAATGGCCGACCCCGTACAGCTTCACCATACGGTACCCAACCGCGATAATTGTCCGTGTATCGAACGTATAAACACGTTTAAAATGTCTTAACGAAAACTATAATTATGGCTTTGAAAAGTTCCACTGCTTCTGCTGTAAATTGGGCTGTATTTATTGAGTGATATGTTTGCAAAGAATAAATGAAAGTAAACAAAAGAATGAACTGTGACCCGAAGATGATTGATTAATGATTGAATAATTGAATGTAAATATGTAAACTTTTCTCAATGTAAGTTGAATGTTTTTTCAAATATTCTAAAACTGTGATGAAGCACCACTCTATTATGTAACTTGCATTCACGTCCTGTTTGTGATTGTAGCCATGGAAACAATTTCCTGTGTTGTGATTGGCTGTAAATTGTGATGAGATATTACTCACTATTTAATATTTTTAGCAGGGATATTTCACATATACGTTTTTGTATCATTCCAAGTAGATTTAGATTAACTTAATAATTAATAATTACAGATATTGTGGTTATTTCAACTGTAGGTACAATGCATAAGAAAAAATATGAAATGTATTTATTAATCCGATCGGAGTGCAGTAGTTTCGCTACTCCTTGTTATTTATATTAAGTACCTTATTATTTAAAATTGTTTTCTCAAACTGATAAAATACTGTTCACAGTCAGACAAAAGCGCAGTGTATGTATTCTGAATCCAATTCTTGATTCACTATGATATTTTAGAAGACAAAGTTAGTGGAATGGTGTCCGTATTTACACTGTGCTCAAAAGCGGATTATAACCCTCGCTCAGACAGCAGAAAACTGCGTTATCCAATGAATAAGTTACCTGACTGTGGCTAGTATCTTGATTGGTTGGAGTGTGATGACGTCACGGGTCGACTGTTTATTATTGAAAGATGTACTGTTAGTGTTTCTGAGAGTGTAGTGATGTTTGTTCTTTCTCATGTTTGATTGGTTGAATAAATATGTTATGAATTTGACAAACATGCTGTTATATTCTATTCTACGAATCTGACATTATCCACATTGCCCTCAAACGAAATCCCCCCCCCCCCCCCCCGTGAAGATCCAGAAAAGAGTAGGTCTTCTGCAACCCATGCTTGCCGTACGAAGCGACTATTATGATTGTCGTAAGAGGCGACTAACGGGATCGGGTGATATGGTTGATGCATGTCATCGCACCCCAACTGCGTGGATCGATGCTCATGACAACTATCACTGGATTGTCTGGTCCAGATTCGATTGTTTACAAACCGGAGTATCGCTGACCGGCCTTAAACAACCAAACCAAACAAAATCAAGCGAAACCCGTCACAATCAAACATGGGAGCTATACACATGGTCTAGTGTTCAACATATAACCTGGTTGTTCATTGTATGCTGACTTGGTGAACAGATGCTCATGGTATCACCCTCTGGTTGATGATTGCTGCAGCGATCCAGCTGTAAAAATTGCTGACTGGGATAAGCATGATACCTAACGTTCATCCTTTGAGGGGCGGCGGGGTAGCCTCGAGGTTAAAGCGTTTGCTCGTCACGCCGAAGGCCCGGGTTCGAAACCCATCTCAGGTGTGCCCAACTGTGATATTGCTGGAATATTGCTAAACGCGGCATAAAACCAATTTCACTCACTCACTCACTTATTTGTTTCGCACATTGTTTCGATGCCCTGAATGTTTTGTGACAAATACCAGACTCGCTCTCTCGCATCCTTTTAGAACCATTCATTCATATTTGACCGCCTACTTGGTGTAGTGGACAGAACCTCTGCATGGGGAGCGGCAGATCGGTGGTTTGATCCTAGTTCGCGTCATAACAAAAGATGGTAGAAGATGGTAATTACTGTTACCCTGCCTGGCACTCGTCATTATCGTGTGAAACAAGGACTTCAGCTCGGAAGAATACTGTGTCTGTATACAGTACACTGTGTCTGAGTGGGATACCCATGTTGAACTTGGGCGTGGTATGCTTGTGCGCTAACACACACACACACACACACACACACACACACACACACACACGGTCTGAAACTAATCGAGTCTGGACCAGAAAATCCAGTGGTTGACATCATGAGCGTCGATCTACGCCAGTGGTATACGGTGACATGCATCAACCAAGCCTGACCACCCGATCCCGTCAGTCGCCTCTTACGACAAGCATTGGCTCCTGAAGACCTATTCTAACCCGAATCTTCAAGGGTTTCCTATAAGATATAAACGCCCATCATGGTTTGTTTCCCTGCAGTGTTTTTTGTACGATAAACAACTCTTTATTTCTTAATAATTATATATTAATTTCCTATTTCGGTTAATCAAATAGTTAACTTTTATTTGTGTCATTATTCACTAGAAACGCACTGAAAAGTTCGTTCACGTTACGGATATGAGGGAGAGAGAGTGAGAGAGTGAATGAGTGAGTGAGTGAGTAAGTGAGTGAGTGAGAGCAATATCACGGCAGGGAACACCAGCAATGGGCTTCACATATTGTACTTATGTCGGGAATCGAACCCGGGTCTTCGGCGTGACGAGCGAACGCTTTAACCACTAGGCTACCCGATCGCCCCTGAATAGAATTGGTCTTCAGTGAACCATGCTTGTCGGAAGAGCGACTAACGGAGACTGTTGGCCAATCTTGATGATTCGGTTGCTGCCAATTGCGTAGATCGATGCTATTATGTCAATCACTGGATCATCTGATCAAGACTCTGTTATTCACAAACCGCAATCATATTGCTAAGATCGGCGTGAAACATCAAACAAACAAACAAACGACACAAAACATAGAAATTCGACAACTGCCATGTTGAGGACACGTGTTCTGTCACCAGAGGAATGAAAACCAAAACATATTATGTTTCTGGTTCGTTACAAGTATTCTATCTTCTTAACTCTATGCTCTGTACACACAATTTGGCCCATATGGCGACTGAGGGGGACGGAAAGACATCTGCCAGGTATTCCAATCTGCCTTTCATGCCAAGGAAATTATCTTGTAACCCTACACCCAGAACATTGTTCTCAGAGCTACCATACGATGACTTTACTTAGCTTTGCACGATGCACTTGCCACAACGTGCATGTTCAAGTCATATCGCGAGTCAAGTGATCACATGGTCTTGTAGACAGTCAGGGAATAATTAAAGGAAGGATTCACTTAACTAATGAAAAGCTCCAGCGGAGAACATAAAGCCGAATTGGGGAAATGTTTTCTATACTTATTAAAACATTCACAGGCTACACTCTCTCACAGGCCCCAGAAAACGTATTTATTGAAACATTCACAGTCCACAGGCTACACTCTCTTACAGAACCCAGAACATATATTTACTGAAACATTCACAGTCCACAGGCTTCACTCGCTCATAGCCCACAGAACATATATTTACTGAAACGGGCCAAAGAGCATATATGTATTGAAATATTCACAGTCCACAGGCTACACACTCTCACAGGACCCAGAACACATATTTATTGAAACATTCACAGTCCACAGGCTACACTCTCTAAGAGAACCCAGAACACATATTTATTGAAACATTCACAGTCCACAGGCTACACTCTCTTACAGAACCCAGAACATATATTTATTGAAACATTCACTGTCCACAGGCTACACTCTCTTACAAAGCCCAGAACATATATTTATTGAAACATTCACAGTCCACAAGCTACACTCTCTTACAGAACCCAGAACATATATTTATTGAAACATTCACAGTCCACAAGCTACACTCTCTTACAGAACCCAGAACACATATTTATTGAAACATTCGCAGTCCACAGGCTACACTCTCTTACAAAACCCAGAACATATATTTATTGAAACATTCGCAGTCCACAGGCTACACTCTCTTACAGAACCCAGAACATATATTTATTCAAACATTCGCAGTCCACAGGCTACACTCTCTTACAAAACCCAGAACATATATTTATTGAAACATTCGCAGTCCACAGGCTTCACTCTCTTACAAAACCCAGAACATATATTTATTGAAACATTCAACGTCCACAGGCTACACTCTCTTACAGAACCCAGAACACATATTTATTGAAACATTCACAGTCCACAGGCTACACTCTCTTACAAAACCCAGAACATATATTTATTGAAACATTCGCAGTCCACAGGCTACACTCTCTTACAGAACCCAGAACATATATTTATTGAAACATTCACAGTCCACAGGCTTCACTCTCTTACAGAACCCAGAACATATATTTATTGAAACATTCACAGTCCACAGGCTACACTCTCTTACAGAACCCAGAACATATATACATTGAAACATTCACAGTCCACAGGCTACACTCTCTTACAGAACCCAGAACATATATTTATTGAAACATTCACAGTCTACAGGCTACACTCTTACAGAAACCAGAACATATATTTATTGAAACATTCACAGTCCACAGGCTTCACTCTCTAACAGAACCCAGAACATATATTTACTGAAACATTCACAGTCCAAAGGGTACACTCCCTTACAAAACCCAGAACATATATACATTGAAACATTCACAGTCCACAGGCTTCACTCTCTTACAGAACCCAGAACATATATTTATTGAAACATTCACAGTCCACAGGCTACACTCTCTTACAGAACCCAGAACATATATTTATTGAAACATTCACAGTCCACAGGCTTCACTCTCTAACAGAACCCAGAACATATATTTACTGAGACATTCACAGTCCAAAGGGTACACTCCCTTACAAAACCCAGAACATATATTTATTGAAACATTCACAGTCTACAGGCTACACTCTCTTACAGAAACCAGAACACATATTTATTGAAACATTCACAGTCCACAGGCTACACTCTCTTACAGAACCCAGAACATATATTTATTGAAACATTCACAGTCCACAGGCTACACTCTCTTAGAGAACCCAGAACATTTATACACTGAAACATTCACAGTCCACTGGTTTACCTGTCCGATATTTATTTTTTACAAGCCGTCGTTACAGAACTAGAATATTGCTGACGTGGGTGTAAAACAACATTCATTCACTCGCTGGTATCAAGGGCGATCACACGAGAAGTGTCCCTGAATCACCTACGAATACTCGCCCAAAGACCGCAAAGAGCTACGAACTATCACTCGCCACTTTGACCTATGAGACCAATCATATTCCCGTTTCCGTCGCTTCAACTAATTAATCGTGTATTTTTTCTCCCTGAAATCGGATTAAGAATCACTCGTAATGGATGTTGGGGCCACGGACATTGTCCCGTAGCAATCATGTTCTTAGCTTTATGATTAGAAAATTACTGCAATTGATTTAAGTAAGACCGTCTTATCCGGCCCGAGTCAGGTCGCCCCTGTCGTTAATGATTGCAATTGACATGTGTCGATATCGCGCCCATCAATCACGAACATGACAGGTGTTATCTTCTTGGGCTTTTCACTTGTTGTGGATTTGCTGGTGTTTGTTTAGCGTGACCTTAGCCTCAGGGGTCAGGGATAAAGCAACATTAGGAGGAATAGTTGCAGCAAGGGACGTGATTGAAATTATGTTTATTTCATGCTTCGGTTCAGATGAAAAGCCGGACCTTAGCTGTGCGCACACTAAGGGAGGCTGGTAGTCTGTCTTACAGACCCTGATACAAATATATATCAAATACAGCCCATGCAAGTCTATAATGTTTGGCAAGTCTAGATCACTGCAGTATCTGAAAATGAAGAGAGTCACTGGGCTCCTTTTTATTATATTTTTATTAAGATAACTGAACAACTGTTTTTCTTATGTACGATATGTTCATTTCAGAGACTAGATTTTAGTCTAGGAGGTTGGCTTCTTCTGTTTTAGTAACTGTGCAACAGAAGACCACGAAACATAATTGTGAAAATTCGAAGTTGTTGTGTCTGTTTGTTTGTTGTTTAACGCCGCACTCGGCAATATTCCACCTATTCGACGGTGACCAGACAATTCAGTGAGCAACCATCTGGACCGATTCCGTGGA